CCTTAGGCATTTAACCGTAGAGTTGAACTAGTTTTTATGAGAGAAATGAAGAATATATAATCCATTTTGCTCCTTGGTTGTGCTAATCATCTTCCTCAAAGGGATCTATCTGTATGATAGAGCAGGTTAGATAATGGGAGGTGACATAACAATTTAAGTCATGTAATAGCTTGGATATTGAGACTAGGTTAACATGCAAATCTGGAACGTATAATAAATTATATAGAATCAGAACATGAAGAATAGACACGGTTACCATTTGGCAATGTAATGGGGATTGGTTTGATTTTAAGGATGGATGAAAGGCAGGATAGGCTATGAATGATGTGATCAGTGACTCCAGTATCCATAATCCACTTAGATAAATCATTATCTAGTGTTGCCTTGCTAACAGTTGTGCAAGTAATGCGCGCAAGTATACGCGACAACAAGTAATATAGGGCTGTTATAAGTCCCAGTTATCGTTCCCACAAGGATCGTTGGCGTTTTGAAATGACTAAAATTTGTAATTGCTTAAAACTGAGTTACTATTTGAAAATAGAAGAAATAAAATTGTAAAGTAAAAAATAATCTAGAATGGACCTAAAACACTACTGTTCACTATTCTTTTAAAATTTTCTGAATTACTTTCCTTCAGTTATAAAATAAGAAGTAAGAATGAAGCAACTTAAATGACAGATGTGACAAAATTTTTGGAAACAGAATAGAGATTGAAATATGAAATAACAAAGGAAATTGGAAATCTGAGTTGATAAAGAAGTTCAAAAAGGTGGGTTGAGTTCTGGCTCTCCTTCCCCACAGTGCTTGAAAATAATTTGATTAACAAAAAAACTCATCCTAAGATTCTCAGTTAACAGAACTGTATTGTTAATTTTAATCTCTTAAAAATTATTTTATCCCAAAGTTGACCACTTCCATATCTCTATGCCAAGTGGGATTAGGACTCTTGAGACTCAGGTCCAATATTACATGAGGTCTCATTCATTTCTGAAATGAGATCCCTTAGATGATTTCTCATCTAAGTCCATGTGTCTAATGCAGAATCCAAAGTTAGTTGTTTCTCAACAACTAAATCCTAACCAAACCTCTGACATTCGGCCAAAATGCAGATAATTTTAAACATTAGAAAAAACATTAAACAACTGAGATATAAAAATTAAAACCAGAAAACCAAACGTTTAACAAGCACTGAGGTTTGGGTATCACCTAAACCCAACCTCTAAAAAGTTAGCCACTATCCATATGGATGAAGCTTACAAACAGTAACAGAGAACTACAGAAATCACAAAATAAAAATTCTAAAAACTAAATTACAGCACTGGCCTAACAACCGGCAATCTCAGTGCTGTAAAGACATGCATCAAGTTCATCAAATGAACCAGAATCTCATTACAAAACAGAACTTAAAAGAAAATAAAATAAAAATTGTTCAGAAAACAATAAAACTAAAAAACGGTAAATCAGAACCAGGAGAGAGAGACATGACTCACTCATCAGTCCCTTTTTATGGGGCTCATTTCCTTCTTTGCACGATTTTCTTCTCCAGCTCAGCAGGGGTTACGCGTTTCTCGCGCGTTGCAGGCAGGTGGTCCCCAGCAGCTCCCTCCTCAGACAATCCGAATGGAATTTTTGCTCATTTAACCCGTACGTAGACTTGCGCCCACAAATCGCTCCAGCCTCCACTCTAAAAAAGTATCCAGCTCATCCACTCAGCAAGGGGTTGTCGTTTTGACGTTTTCTGTATAAGGAAGGGGTGACTAGGGTTTGGTTAATCTCTCAATGAACCGTGGTTGAGGGTTAATCTTGACAAATAAACCGAATACAGAGAACGGTTTGGCTTTGCAAATCGATTTGTGGCAAGGAACTTTGGATGGGTGGTGTGGATTTGTGGTCGAATGATGGTCGGTCTTTGTCGCACAATGTGTGCTAGGGTTTTCTCTCAGCCCTTTTCTTCTCGTTTCTGACTCTGTCTCTTTCTTGCTATCCCTATCTCTTTCTTTCTTTAGTTTTCCTTCATCTGGGCTTTTTGATTGACAACAGGTCCAACCCATATCTTTTCTTCTTACTTTTCCTTTTCTTTTCTTCTTTCCTTCATTTCCTTATGAATGTTAACAAAATGGGCCTGTAAAATAACAAGTTTAAGCCCATTAGCACTTAAGCCCATTAAATTTCAGCTCAACATAAATTTTTGGGGTATTTTAATCACAAAAGTCATTCATTTCTCACCAATTACACTCTAAACCATATGTTCTAAGTCTCGTTAAAGAGACTTATCACCTAGTCTGGGGTTATTTGAACATATATGGTTAGTAGCATATATGGATAGTGATTTGAACATATATGGTTAGTAGCATGCACATTGGAAGTAGTCTTCTTGACGTTATGGAGAAGTTCCATCAAGTCTTGATACTGTTGTCTAGAAAGAGTGACATTTTATGAACAATTTTAAACGTCCTACGACTCATCATTATCTTGAAATAATTCTTGATATATAAAGTTTGCACGAGGAGTCTTTGGTTGTAGCCATGTGGGAAACCAATCAAACCATGCTTATGAAAAAATGTCGCAATGGTGTGGTTGTTCTTTCCATAATGAATGCACAAGCGATTATTATTGTCTTGTCCTCTCCCTGACATAATGTGTCCCCTTAATTCCTCTATTAAAAGAACTTCCACAAACATTTGGTTGTTCAATGACATTTGCTTGATTCTTAGTTTTTGAGTTAGTGATATCAAGTGTAAACTGCCTTACTTATTGAATGACCATCGAGAAAAATTTACTTAGAGCGGGTAAAGCATCGAGAAGTATAATTTGTAAGCGTACATGAGCGCATTGATCCTTAAGTCCCTATCACAAATATATGGAAATGGATCTTCTAATGTGCCAAAAAAACATGATATGGTCATGTGGGAAGATCACAACCATACAAAGGTAAATCAACGGTTATGATTTCGTAACTACCTATTTTATCATTTTTTCTCTCTCCTCTTTTTTTACCATTGCTTCACCTTTGTATAGTTATGATTCTCCACCTTACATGGTCATGTAAATTTTCACATTAAAAGATCCAGATCCCACAAATATAGTTGTCACAAACTAACGAACTCTAGATGCATGCATGAATAACTTACATGAATGTAACGTGGTGTAATAATTTATTAAAAAAATAACTGAACAAAATTAATTTGATATCAAAAAATATAGATATGAAAACAAAACAACAAAAATCTTTAAAGGCATAGGTTAAGCATAAAAATATACTTTTGATATTTCCCTTCACTTTATATTCAAATTCCTCCGACCAACATATACCTTTATAAGGAGGATAATCATAATTTTCAATGACAACGAAATTAACACCTGAAATACACACCATTCCCTTAGATTAAACTGAATTAGAAGCCATGGCTTCAAATTAACCATATACAAACAGATCATAACTTAACAAAAACCCTAACATACAATATTAAATGAGGAAGGTTATAGTTACAACTTTTTTTTTTACAACCTCTTACAACCATATCTTAGCACCGTTGATTTTCGTCAATCAACGGTTATGATTTTTGCAAATTAAATTCATTAATTAATTATTAATTCACAATAAATGATAACCGTTGATCGACAAAAATCAACGGTGTTAAAATATGATTGTAAGAGGTTGTAAAAAAAAGATTTTAAGTATAACCTTCCTCATATTAAATATATAAAAACCCTCACTGGATTTTTTAAGTGGTTTATTCTCAGTAAATTTTTAACGAAGCACACATCCAAAAGTATTGTTATGGACTCGATCCATATCTCAACTACATATCTAATAGGAGATCAAAATCTCTCTCAATCTTATCACAACAACATAATCCAAGGAGAATCAAGGAATAAGATTCTTATCCCCAACAAATAAGGCAATTATCATATCAATTAAGGGATATCTAAAGCCCAAATCCATAAAGATAAACCCTATAAATAAGAGGCTAACACACTTTAGACCTATTTATTATTGTTGTCAATATTATGCACACACTCATGTCTTGGCTATATGTCTCTTGTCTATGCATAGTGATTGGTACATTGGCTTTAAGTTAATACGATATCTCTTTTGTAGATTTCTCTGAACGCATATCTTTCCAATATAGATCCACGATTTTTCCAGGACTTAACATGTATAATCAACAAAAACAAAAAAAAAATATTGTAAAATATGCATATTTATATATTATAAATTTCCCTATTGATTAAGTATTAAAGATACTATTAGTATAATTTCGCGGTTTTAATTTTCATCATTCTTGATAATAATGTAATAATATATATATTATAGAGAAATATAACATTCGCTATTTATATTTTGAGTCCTGTATATTTTCCATGAAAAAATAAGAAATATTATAACTCGTAGTTCCTAAACAACTAGAGTTTTATAATTTATACTTTTTATTATCTTTATTCTTCTTTCTTTTCCTTCCTTAAAAACATTGTTTACCACTTTACCCATAAAGAAATAATAAGAAAAAAAAAAGTTGTAGGTAGTTCCTAAATAATTATCCTCTTTATTCCATCTCTTTATTATTTTAATAAAAAAATAATTACGTAACCCGTAACACAGATATACGACTACCAAATAAATATAAATTAGACAAAATGAACGAGAATGATAATTCAAAAAAATATATAAATAGTAAAATTAATTTTAGCATAATATATTATAATAAAAAAAATGAGCAAATCAAGTCATAGCCAATACTTTTAAGATACTAAAGCTTATAAAAAATAAAATTAAACAAATTTTATTTAATTATTTTTTGTTGTTGAATAATTTGGGTTCATATAACAATTTAATAGATTATGCAATGGGCACGAAGCGAAGACCCAATAAAAGATGGAAAAGGACTGAATGGAGAATATGTAGAAAAATAAAGGGTAAAAGAGGTGAAGAGTTTGGAATTAGAATATTTAGAAATAAAAAGAAGAAACAACACTCCATTCTTCCATACAAGTATAGTTGTTATTGTTGTTCTTGTTGGCCTTGCAGGCTGCGCAGTTCCTCTTTCTATAACTCAAAGAAAAGAAGAAACCACAAACCCCCCCTCTCTTCTCTCTTCTCTCTTCTCTCTTCTTAGGGTTTCTCTTTTCCTCCCTCACATTCATTCTCTAACCTCTACACGACACCGTTTCCAAACAACCCTTAGCTTTTGAGCCCACAATTAGGTGAGTGCTGTTGTTCTGTTCTCAATGGCCACCGCACCACCACCGCCACCTCCGCCACCACCGCCGGTGAAGTCACAGCCACTTCACAACTTCTCCCTCCCCTTCTTGAAATGGGGTGCGAGCGGCAAGAACCACACCAACTCCAACCACCACCGTTGTCGCCGCCCTCCCGTTCTCTCCGATCACGCATCCGAACCCGAATCCGATCTCGACTCCCGACCTCACCGGGTCGGATCCAGAACCGCCAGGAACCGATTCACACTGCCTTCGTTCTCCAACAAGCAGCACTCGCCTCCCGAGAGAGGAGTCTCCAACGACGAAACCGGAGAGAGAGAGCGAGAAGCTGAGCACGTAGCAGAAGCCGCCGAAGCCGAAGAGACAGTGCAGAAGCCGTGGAATTTGAGGCCACGGAAACCGGCGCACGCCAAGGGCACGGTGGAGATCGGAACCGGAGCTTCAAGGAATAATAATAATAACAACAGTGGAGAATTGCAGGAAGCGGTTCATCACCACAACGGCGGAGAGAACCCTGCGCCGAAGTCGCTCCGGTTGAGGGGTTTCGCTGAGACGCAGTGCACGGAGAGGAAGGAGAAGAGGAAATTCTGGATCGCTCTTTCAAGGGAAGAGATCGAAGAAGACATCTTCGTGATGACTGGGTCAAGGCCCGCTCGTAGGCCCAGGAAGAGGCCCAAGAATGTTCAGAAACAAATGGATGTATGTATGCTTTCTACTTTTCTATCTTCCTTCATTATCAATCTCTCTTTGTTTTTTTGTTTTTTTTTAACCTTGTTTGTTCAATTTTTCAGTGTGTTTTCCCTGGCTTATGGTTAGTGGGGATCACTGCAGATGCTTATAGGGTCGCTGATACACCAGCAAAGGTTCTCTCTTTCCTTCTGTTTATGATTGTTCTTCTGTGTTTCTGTTCTAGATTTGGTTTATAAAATTTTGGTGATTTTCTTTTGATGGGGAAATTGATCACTTGATTACTTTGATTCTTGCAGAGGTAGAGAGGCTGTGGATCGAATGGAGGTATAAACGACGCGCTGAATTTTGTAAAGAGAAAAGGGAACGTTGGAGTGGAATGAAAAGAACAAAGGATGCTATTTTGGTTGATTGTGTTGTTTCCCGGCGCTAGGCTTTTTTAGATGCAAGGGGCAACTTTAGTTGGTTTTACTTGTTCATCTCTTCTTAGTCTATCGCTGTAAGCATAGAAATATATAAATATAGATAGATTAATTAATAGAGTCAAAAGTACAATGTTGATTTTCAGAGCTTTTTGTTTTATGGGGTTTTTTTTTATTGAATTAATTCTGATACATCAACTGCTTTCAATGTTTGACAGGCTTCCCTACATCGTTGGGGGGCAGAGTAGCAACCATGTAGTTAATTTGCAAATCCCTCAACTCATTACTGGGTTTTGTTATTGGAGGCACTACTTGCTTCCTAGCTCCTGAAGAGGCCTTTGTCTGAAGAAACCTGATGAGGTTGAAAGCTAATACAATGACTGCATGCTTTCTTTTCAACTATTCGTATGCCTATATGTTTTCATATTGTTAATTTCATTAATGCGCTCCTTCAAATTTTGCATTGATAATCTCAATCATGGCCATCATTAGACAAGCAAAATCTTTGACATCAATGGTTTAATATTCGTCTATTCTGATTATAACCAACCAACCAAATGATATCCATCTTTAAAATTTTAGAATTAGTTGAGAATAGTCAAGCACTATTATATCAAGAGTCATGCTATGAATTGGTTTATTTACTTAGTTTTTCCCTTTTGGGGTTGTTTGTTTGACACTTGTGAAATTTTGCCCCCTAGAAAATAACTGGTGTGGTGCCTTCTTTGAAATTCAACAACTTAAAAATATTGGTTGTGGATTCAAAGTTGGATATAAGATTGTGCTGTTTTCTCCAATGTGCAATACATTGCTCATTTTCCAAGAGAGGAGAGGTCTCCAAAGTCTTAAACCATCACCTAGGGTCTGTTTCCTGACTGATCTCAACAAGAATTTCAATGTTTTTATACCATTAATTTATTTTTGCCTTAGAATCTTTTTCACAAGCTGCAAATTTCATGTATTAATTGATTAATGAGGACTGAATACTGATGCACTCTTCCATTTTACTTGGCAACAATCAAAATAAAACCTAGTTGCTGCATCACCTTATGGCACTAGTTCACCAACCATAATTGGAGTGTATACTTCTCTCTCTTGTTTAGGATGAAGAGCCTAACAGCTACTTAGCTTTTTGTCTGTCGTTGAATCTGGCTCAGCAGAAATTCAATTTGCATATAGTAGTTTAGTTTGTTAGCACGTGTCCTTCCATTATAATAATTCTGTTTTCTGCATTTTGCGAAAGATCTGAAGGATCAAGATTCAGGATGGAGTCAGGTTTGTGTGTCATTCATAAATCAAGTGGTTGCCAAAGAAACGTCTTACATAATTCATGCCATATGCACTTTGGCACATTTACTTTTCACTGGGTTTGGGATACAGCAAGTGTTTCCCTGTCTGGCTCAGGGTTTCAGTTGATAATTGAGCTAGTAAAACAAAAATTGCGCGTTGAGTGGAATTGATCAAATGAATGATTGATTAGCCTTTTGTACTTGTTTCCTCCTTTCGAATATCTTCTACAAATGATTCATTTTTGTATATGGCCGTGAGTTTTTGTAACGTTAAAGATACATGTCTGTCTTCTTTTTTTGTGTGACGGACAACCTTAGCCAGGTCTCGAGTGTGTTGTATGCTTGCAGCAATCGTTTTACTTTCTGACCTGGTGGAAGGATTTTGATCTCTGTTCTTTTGTTTTAATTTTGGCCATTAAGCTGATTCTAAATCATAGTTTCCTTTTTTTTTTCTTCACTTGAAGAATTCATGATATCCATTGATCCACACATTGGTGAACAATGCGACTATAGTCATTGACCCGAAGCTCTGTTGTCCAATCAGTTTTTGATACTGTTTTTGACTAAATTGGGGAACTAATATTCGCTAATTAAATGATCTTTGTTATTTGTCATAGCTAATCAATTAATGTTGCTGCAATTGTCTTTGCATTCTATTTTAGGCTTTTAGGCTTGTTATCGTCTTTCACTTTAAAGTTTAAACCCAATTCCATTTATCATCATTAATTTATTATTAGTGTTCCTCGAAAGTGAGTGGAATCTTGCTGTGACCTTATTGACTTTATAGGGTTAGTCCACTTATTCACGAGTCAAAATGAGATGTCCGTTTTCTAAGAAACAATGTAGCTTAATTTTACCATCGGAGCCAGTTTTTTTTTATTTTTTTGGACATACAAATTTTAAAATTCATAATTAAAATAAAAAAATTATATAATTTAATAAAAGGTATGATCAACAAAAACAAAAGAAAGTGTTCTAACATATTTTATATATTGCAAATTTCTGTATTGACTAAGTATTAAAGGTACTCTTAGTATTAATTTTTTGATTTTTTAGCATTCTTGATAATAATGTAAGATGTAATGCCTTTTGTGAACCCAGTTTGTTACTTCTTATCGTATTGTAATATCTTTCTCGCTGGAAGCTTCTCAGGAGTAGTTTTTTGTTCGTGCTTCATCTCTTTTGCATTGACAATCACTTTTCGCCCTTGTCAGTGCCTGGGATGTAATATGCCCATCCGCTTCTGCTTGGTTTGTTCTCGAACCACTGAGAAAGAGGCTCATCTCTGATACTACTTGTAATGCTTGACCACTTGCAGGCAAGGAAGCACGGACACTTGTAAAAACAGGAAGAGTTGGGTCCGACACGCTCCGACACGGCGACACGCTCCGACACGGTGTCGGACACGCGGTTGACTTTTTCCGACACGTTGACCATTCCGACACGCGAATTTGACCGTGTCCGACACGGTCAAATGGCATTTTCGTAATTTTTTTTTTTTTTTTTTTTTGTTTAAAAAATTTATTTTTTTTAAAAGTTAAAATATATTAATAAAGCTTCCACCTGATCATATTAATTTTATCTTTTTGTCTTTTTTTCCCTTAAGTAGATAAGAGATCATCTCAGCATCATTGTTGTCAATTCCTATCACGCTCTTGTTGTATCTTCTTCTTTCTGATCTCTCTCTAATATGATTTGATCTATCTATCTGATATTATATATCTCTCTCATCCCAGTTCTTATTTATTTTATTAAAGCTTCCATCTTTATAACGTGTTGATGGGTATTACTAATTTAATTTCATTTTTTTGTTAAATTATTAAATATTAAATGAAATATACCATATATAAATTTAAAATATTATTTAATATTAAAACGTGTCCCAACGTGTCGAAATCCATAATTTTTTAGGATTGACGTGTCGGAGTGTCGTGTCGTGTCGTGTCACGTGTCGCGTGTCGTATCGGTGCTACATAGCTTGCAGGATCAATGAATGTCCTTACAAACCAACAACAGACTTTATAGTGTGCTTTGTCCTCACTCACACAATTTCAGAATTGCTTCATGTCTAGCACGTTTAACTACGGAGTTCTTAAGTTATGTGTAATACCTTATATGCATCCGGTTATGTTATCATCAATTATGATATTAAGTACAGTTATAATAATAATAGTTCATTTAAAAATACGAAGAAAAAAAAATTATTTAATAACGTTCGCACTTTTAAAACAACTGTATTAAAACATTTTACAAGTTGTGATCATAACTCAAAACTTATTGCAGAAACATAAATACTATAGCTTAACATCATATAACATGGGTCTAAAGTTGCTAGGTGGTTCCCATAAACTAATAAAGTATAGTTACACAATTTGACGTTTTTTCAACATAAGGTACATGCGATGTTATTTAAATTGCAAACAATTCACCCTACCAAAAATAACCAACTTTTGATATGTTAACTAGACTCTTCTAGCTTTCCAACGAGGTATCCCAAGCCTCAATTGGAGTTGTCAAGTCCCAGGAATAATTGTCGCAAGTTAGACAAGTAAAACTGTTAACAGACTCAAAATAAGGCACTCAACATCCCTCACTGTTTCTGTGATTCCAAACAATCTAGAAGTCAGATTGCTCTCAAAATTTAATATGTTGTGGGGTACACCTTTAGTTTTAATTTGATATATCATAAGCCTAATTTGAGTAAGAAATGAGGGATATATGAATTTTTGAAAACCACGGACAGAGGTTGCATCCTTCAGCGCGAAACAGAGAAGTCCGCCTTCATTCAAAAACTAGGAAGGTTCTACTACTTATAATTGTCCCATATTTTAGGACAACAAAGAGGACATCTTAAGCTTTAAAATAATGTATGGCACGCCTCAATTGGACGATTTTGAAGGGAGATATGGTCTCCCAACGTTAGGTGTAATTCTGACCACTTTCCTAGAAATCTGAAAGTATCTCCTTTATTTTATTAACTATTCTCACTTTATTCAAGTATGTTCCATTTTTCCAAAGGATACCTAATTAATCATAGAGTGACACAAAAAGGTTCAACATACCTTGGTGATCTTACAATCCAGCAATGTACATCAATTTACATCATTACTTAAACCTTAAGTCATCATCCACAACTTACTTGACTTACAAGTTATGCATTATTATACTAATCAACTTCCACTTAATCAATTATCATCATTCCTATTTCATACTCATTATCCAATTGTCATCCATTGTAATTATACAATATTAATATCTAAAATAGGTATATTGTATTACAAAAAAAAAATAGGTATATTGTCCTTCCATCACATACATCCAATATTACATACATAAGATCCTCAAGTGGTACAATCAACATTACATCAACTAAACAAATATAACTATTACATAGTCATTGATGCCTCCACAACATGTTACCACATAACCAAAATAATAAGCTCACGACTTAGATACCAAAAGTATGAACAACCCTAAGCATGGCAATACATCTCTTGCAAGACCAATATTCATGCACTAAGCCATAATATCAAATGAGCATATACAATAAATCATGTGTAAATATCTCCCAAAATGCTATGACAACACTCCAATGTCCATATCCGACGCCTTAGATGGGCCTCTTGCCCAAAGCTTCTCCAGCAACACTAGTGGTACCTGAAATGTAATCCCCATAATGCGGGGTGAGATTTGACAATCTCAGTAAACCAATGATCTTGGAGGGTCATTCCTTCCAATGGCTCACTCAATGTGCATAAATCGTAATACAACCATAGCATGATATACATTTAACCAGCATACCACAGTCCCACATGGAGGTCATGATACCATACTCATATGGATTCCACAACACATTCATAACCAAATATCTCGATACCAAATTTTCATGGAGGTCATATACCATACCCACTAATCTAAGTCCTTTCATCATTTTCACTGTGGAGATCATTTACCATACCCATACCAAATCACCAATTCAAAGAGGTCATTAACATACCCATATGGAGGTCTTTTTTCCATACCCATTATGGAGGTCATTCCCATACCCATGCTAAAATACCAACTCACAAAGGTCATTAGTCATTACCATACCCATATGGAGGTCATTTTACCATACCCACTATGGAGGTCATTATCATACCCATGGAAGGTTGCATTTACAATTATCTACTAGCCAAATATCACAATTACACATAGCATATTATCCATACAATTATCACACA